AATTATTTAGTAATATTAAAAATATTTTAATTTTTTAAATTTTTTTTTTTCAAAAAAAAAAAAAACAATGTATGACAGGAAGTGACAAACTATACTAATCTTAAAATTTTACTCTTTTTAAAAATAAAACTTAATTTTTTTTTTGTTAAAATTTTGAGAAATGTGAAAGTTGACCATTGACGATGAATATGAACATATTGCATAATATAGAAATATTGTCATGGGCAGAACGGCATTGTGCTTTTTATCATGATGTTAATCTGCTCGTCCGTTTGCTTATTATATTTCTATTTAAAAGAGGAGTACTTCTTGTAAGTACGAGGCAATAATTTACTCTTCTTGGGGCGATTAATAATAACGAATAAGCAAATCGTTCTTTCACCAATTTTTTTAAGATTATAAAAGCTAATGAACAGCTTTAAACCGCCATGTTTTAGTTTATATAAAAATAATTGTTTTGTATCCCCTAAAAGTATGCAACACCAGAATATTACAAAGAAAATTATGTAGCTAGTTTCGTGTACACAATTTTTAATATTAAATGTAAAATATTTAAATAAAGAATTTAATTTGAAATTTTCGAATGACCTATGCTTAATGTTTAACTTATACATTAACTAAATAAATATATCCGTGCATATAGTCAATTAATTATTAATCAATTCATCGTACGTTCAATTTGCATTGAAACTTTCAATTTTTATTTAATTAGAGGGCACAAATAACGCCATGCAAAAAAAAATAAACCTTAATTGTATATTTTTTTTGTAATTGAGAGTATTTTAAATATAGTATGATCTTTTATTAAATTTTATTAAAATACTATATATTTAATAATATCAAAAAAATACCAGTTATAGAAATTTTTCCTGAATTATTCAAGTATTTATTTATTTAAAGTATATGAATCACCTGGCGATTCATTTCAAGACAACATTATTAGTGTTATTGTAATAAAAATGAAAGTGAAATTATATTGCATATATAAATTGTAGTTTGTAATATTAAAATTATTTTAATATACCTCTTACATATAAGGTCACTAGAGGTTAAAAAACAAATAACAAAAATTATTTTAAATAGAAATTTAAATTTATGAGGAACGCGTGTAGATTATTTGCTATTGAGATCATAATACTAATTAAATGAAGACATTTATACCCATCTCTATTCTATTAGTCACATTATTCCACACGATGGGTTATTATTAGAAAATTTTGAGTTTTTAGCACTTTTCGAAAAAAATTTTGAAAAAAAGTGCTTATTAGTTTCACCCTGTCTGTCCATCCGTCCGTGGACATGTATTTACAATACTTCTACACCCTTGAAGATAGGAAGCTAAAGTTTAATACGTACATAAATCTTTACTAAAAACTTATTTCCGTAGAACAAAATTTTTACCTATCTCCCCCCTCTAGAAGTTGTACCCCCCAAAACTTAAAAATGCTATTTTTTAACTATTTATTGCAGGGAAACCATAAGCATTTTTCAAATTTTGCAAACGCAGAAAAACAGTGTCTTGCTTCTCCTATCGCGGCATACTATATAGTTAAACTTTAAGAAAACAAAATGGCCGTTCAAATTTACCGTTATCTAAAGTCTTTTTTTTCCAAATTTTTGATTTTGTTTTTCTTCTAAACCCCAAGTTGTAGGAGCCTGACATTATAGCAACTTTTAGACACTGACAAATAGTTTATTTCGTTAGAAGAAAATTTTTTTCCATCTCCTCCCCCTCTCAAGTTATCGCCTCTTGAAATTTGTAAAATTTGAATTTTTGGCGCCTCATATTTCCAAAACCGTAAGCTTTTTCAAATTTGTATAAATGCCAAAAATCTAACGTTAAATTCCATGACATTAAAAAACATAATTATTATTTTAATTCACGCAATTAACCCCTAAAATTGAGCATTATGTTTTTGCTTTTGCTTTATTTCAAAGATTGCATAAATCGTTCATCCTAACTATATGCAATCCTAGAAATAGCTTCGTTTTAATGAGAATAATTTTAATAGCTGGTATACATAGACTGTTTCACTTGTTGAAGGGAAAGGAAAAGTTAAACCATTGGTTTGACCCAACTTTTTTAAAAATACAATCAATTTCGAAATTTTTTATACAGAAAAATTTTATACTAACAACTAAAATAGTATTTTATAAAAATTTTCGATAATATTCAATTACCTCAAGTGATGTGTTTAGCAGAATATGTGTGATTATATTTGTTATCACTCTAATTTTTAATTACCAAAACGAAAAACTAGGATTCTTTTAAACATTAAATTGTGAAAATATGTACAAAATAATTAACATCACAATAATTGTCCATGAATTAAAATTTTTTTAAAACATTGGTCAACATTAGATTATATGGAGTCGCATTATCTTAAGTATGTATTTATTTTACAATTTGTTATACAATGTGTAACATAATTATAATGATAATGGTAAATTTATTATTTATTTTAGAGAAAACTAATCGCACTTATTTTAAATAATTTTCAAATAAATTTATGTGGGTATAAGATTTAGCTAGATAGCTTATCTTTATTGCAATTTATTAATGAATTTATTTTATAGTTACTTCATATATGACATGCGAATAACTCGAATATATTATTTATACGTTAATTAAATATATAGATAATTAGAAATTTTTGATTATTTGCTTTTTTAATTTACATGCATAATCATTTTGTACAATTGAATTTGAATTATTAATATAAAGAGTAGATGCACACGGATTGCCTGAGTTAATATATATATTATATATTATTTATTACATATACAGATTGATTCAATAATAAGTGCCTTAATATATACCATCGTTTAAGGTATAAAAAATAAGTAAAATTTTTATTTGGAACAAGGTATCAAATTTTAATGGTTTCCGAGATACAGGGATTTGAATGATTTTTAACGAGATTTCGGTTTGCCATAATGCTATGTTCAAATTTAATTCATTGATCAAACATTTAAACGCAATCACCTTATAAATACGTGTATATAGAGAGCGGGTCTTAAAAAATTTTTGAATTATTTTATTGTAGTATGCAATGCAACTGAATGTCTTATTAAAAATTTTTTTTTACCGAAATAATTATTAAGTAAATGAACAACTAAAATAATAAAAAATAATATTCCACACTTCCTCGATAATTTTCAATTCTAATACCGTAATAATAATATTTACTATATATTTTAGTAAGATCGGAATGTAGTAATTACGAATTAGTTTTAAAAAGTATTTATAAATATATTTCGTATTATATTTTAAGTAATAAAAGTTCCATTAACAAATTTCATATTTCTCGTCCTTCATTTTCAAATTAGTACACGCAGACATTAGATTTTGAAATGTTTATCTCGTCTTTGTTGTTTAAGGTGTTAATTGTAAAATAATAAAGACAAAAGAGAAATAAAATTTTTTGTTTTAAAATGTAAAAGTAAAATATTAACAAAAAAAACAAAAATTAACAAAGAAATTAATAAATAAATAAGAGCACATGTTATACATGCAAGTTTTTAATTATTATTAACGCTTATTTTATGGTTATCTTTTTAAATAAAACATTTTCATTAGCAACTTTGTCGTAATTCGTATACACATCGTCGTATAATTCATATATATACAAACCCATATATCACATTATATCATATGTATATATACACATATTTATTACTAAAATAATAAAAAATAAACAACTGAACAACAAAAATATTAAAGCAGCAATTGTTGCAAACCTTCATAATTCATATTTTTCACTTATACATATATATTTAATTGACCGCATTGCATTAAATAATAAGGGAGATTATGTCATGGCACCAAATTTTTCATGTCGAGTTTTCGTCCGCAAATACGATTCTCCATACTATAGGGAAGCGTAAACAAACTATTTTTTAAAGAAATGTCTGTCGGTCTATCTGTTCAACTGTACAGATCAGTATATCAAGTTTAACTGGAGCGTTTTTCACAAAAATTTAACTTTTCAACTTTTGAGATGTGTCAGGTCTCTGTATATGGATCTATATTAAGAGTTGATTTTAAGTTTTTTACTCTACTTAAGAATATACATAAGTTAAGACAATGCAAAAAGTTACCTAACTTTTTGAGGAAATCAGGTGTCTGCAAGTGACACTTTTTAATTTTGAGTCACATTTATATTTTTGCTCATATATGTACTTACAGAGAAATAATCAATCAACTTATTTGAAATTTCTTATTTAAAATCTGTTTAATAAAACAATATGCCAATAAATTTTTCGCGAATATCAGAGCTCGGAAACAGAACTTTTGCTATTTACAAAACCAACTTGAAAACTTAGCAGGGAAATCGGATCACGATCAAAATTAACCTGTACAAAAATCCACATTTACATTTTTCTGGGTACATTAACTAAAACCCACTCTCTATCTCTTACAGAATTTAAAATATATATGTAAAAGTAATTTTCATAATCTTATATGGGACACTTTAATAGTACGTTCGTTTATGTGCTGTTCACATCCGATTTATGTAGTATTTTCATTTTTCATTTTTAAATACATTGTTAAGTTTTCATTCATTTCAATTATACAATCATTTATACTTTGTTTTATAATAAAAAATAAAAGATATAATAATAATTATTAATATGAATTATAAAAAAAAAATATTTATAATTTTATTGGCAATTTGCATATTGTTCTCACATTCTATACACACATACACACTTTATTTGTAGTTACATATTATATAGAATTGGGTAGTTCATTTGAAATTTGAATTTTTCAATTTGAGTTTGCAAGTGTTTTAACCCGTTAGGGACCCAAGTTTCTTATAATAAAAAGTATATTAATATAGTTTTTAAAAAAATTTTCTTTTACGTTTTGATCATTATTTTGAAACCGTGGTCTCTAATGGGTTATTAATATTTTAAAAATTTTTTTATTCATTTTTAATTAAAAAAAATATTATAAAAAAAATCAAAAAACCAAAATATTAAATATTATTTTCCAGAAACATCATATGGTACCTGTGTTTTTGAATCCGATTTTGGTTTCATATTAAATTGTAATTTTAAAAAGTCTGGATTATTTCGTGTAAGGAATTTAGGTGGAGTTAAAGCTCACATTGGTTTAGGTAATAATAAATTTTTTATGTTTTTTTTATGTTTGTTAAAAATAGATTTCACTTCGAATAAGAATCAGCTCTATCATGAATTTCGTTCGTAGCTTTGAATTTAAGAAAATTATGAATGTCATATTGTGAATTTCAAATTTTTAAAATTCCGCTCCAAATATTCGTAAAAGAGCAATCATATATTACGTTCGTAATAAAAATTCATGTACCAAAAATTCTACGAAACAATTTGATAGTTGAAATAAAATACTGATTTTGACATTCAAAAAAAATGGTGCTACCATTGCTGATTCATAATCTTTACAAAAGTAATTTTTGACCATTCAAAAGTCTACGTCGTAATTTTATTCATAATTCGTAGGATTCTACTAGTGAAATTCATGATAGAGGGTAGTGTTGTCAACTTTTCAATTTTCCTTATTCCTTGGAAATATTTTTAAATATTTTTGTATGTGTTGATTCCTTGCGAATATTCCTTATAGAATGTTAGATTAGAATATTCATTGTTAATTTCTCAAGAATAATTCCTTAAGATTTGTAAAATTTTATTGCTTAACATCGAGTTTATTATTTTTTCTTAAACAATATGTATGATAAAGAGCACGTTTCACTTGTATCGCAGTTATTTTTAGGTTGATTCAACAGCAAGAAAAAATCATCAGCTTTTATATAAAAAATAATATTATAGCTTATAGTATAGTGATTGTATTTTCATGAAAAATTTTCCCATTTATAACACCCCTTTTTAATTTTCGTTTAAATTTTTGCACCTTCTTTACATAATAGTTGTAGTTAACATTTTTTGGCAAGTAAACATTTTCACATAATTATGTACAAAATTTTTTTTCCACCATTGGTTGGTAAAATCACGGAAATAAACCTTTTTCTTTTCCTCTTTTTTTTTACTAAATTATTTTTTGATTATAAGATTAAAAAAAAAATTTTATTTTGTGAGATTCTAATAAATTGACCATGTAATGAGTTTTTCCATATAATATGTCATCAGTTGGCTTCGGTTCACCTAAAAATAATTGATAAAGTGTAAAAAGACAAGAGGTATACCTAATTATACTCGTACCTACAATACAAATAATGTTATTTATAAAAAAAAAAATTTCATAACTTGGATTGAAAATTTGTGTGGCACACGCATTATAAAAAATTTTACAAAAATTTTTTTTTTAACTACAACTTACTTATGTAAGTATATGTGTACATGTTAATATATCAAGTTTTTTAATCAGCCATATCATTAATCGTATCAAATTGCAATTAGATTTGATAAAATAATTTTTTTTTGTTTACGTACATAAATTAAATAGAAAAATTTCAATTGTTCAATTTTCTGATCACGTAATTTTTTTTAAAATAATTTAATTTGAGATTAATAAACTTAAAAATTAATAAAAATTTCAAGTTACCGCCAAAAAATAGGCAATATTTAATCAAGATTTTCAATAATTTTATTAATTTTTCATACTTTAAAATTCTTTCTTAGAATTTGTAATTAATTACTCTTGTGAGGTGAAATATTTAAAATATAAAGATATTAATCGTAAGAATTACGCGGCTGATTCTGTTCAGACAAACTTCTAACTGTTATAGATATCCGATATACCAGTCTACAGGTAAATATGCCTATATACCTAATTTTTAATCAATAATTATGAAAACACTCATAGTAGGCATTCATAATTGAAACTATTAATTTTGACAAGTTATACAACAAGTTTTGAGAAGTTCTGCGTTCATAAAAATCTATACAGACATATGCACATTGTCATGTTGTCAAATTGACCGTCAAATTATGTGTTTTCTCACATCGGGTTATTTGGTAACATTATAAGTAATTTTTTTTCTATGGTTGGAAACTCAGATGAATCTAAAATTTTGATAGTTTACAGATAATATACATACATACATATGTAAAAATTTTATTTTTGAAAATAAAGGTTTTTTTGTACATCTTTGCTCACCAAAATTATTACCTGAAATCTTACATTTTTAAAAATTTCAACGGAGATTATCTTTCCGTTTTACAATTTCTTTAACATTATTTAAGGTCTACTTATCGAACTTTTGTAAAAAAAATAATCTAACACTATTCGTTTTCTTATCTTTTGTTTTCTCTTATATCATAATAAAATTAATTGGCTTTTTTGAAAATAAACAATTTCGGATTTCTCTTATATTTGTGCAAAGTTATTTGGTAATAAGCAATAACTAATAGGTCACATATTTTAATACGTATAACATATTTTACGGCGGATGTACATACATATTATGAGAAATGAATCTCTATTTTTCTAACTGAACTGCATTTTTAATAAATTCTAATAAAAAACTCTATTGCTGTTGAATTGCTTACTCAGTTTCTAAATAATTGTAAAATACTTGTATGTATTTTATATGTACATATATATATATATACATTTATAATAAATCTCTCCCATCTTTTTGATCAAAATTCAAAGATCTATTCTTTATATTCATAAAACTTTCTTTCTACTATCTACGATCTTTTTTAACTATTCCTTTTATCTTTTGCGGCTTGATTATCCTTATTTTTTAAAATTTAATATAATATTTACTCGAAATTATATTTTAAAAGTAATTTATATAATATACATATACTTATATAAATAAATTAAAAATTCATAATTGCGATTTTTTAATGATAGGTTTTAGTGTTGGAGATGAATTGGGTTTACCTGAATCTCTTGGTAATTTAGAAGGAGAAAGAAGACGTTCTGTGAATTATAAACATGCACCAAATGATATAGGGGTTGTACCAGCTGCAAATCTCCCAAATTCAATTCCAAATAAAGTAATATTGTGTCATACACTCACATATAATATAAAATTTAATTAAGAAATAAAACATTTTTCAACATACTTTTATATTTTAGTCAACAACATCAGCACAAAAATCTTCACCATCAAAAGGTTTATCTAGTTCAAGTGGAAGAAGTTATTTTAAAACACCACCAGTTGCTTTAATGACACAAGCAGCATCATTACCATTAGGTGTACCAGCTTTTCGTCCTATACCATATCCATTAGAACGACCTGAAAATATACGAAGAAATTTACTTTTAATGCAACCACAAAATCCTAAAGTAGCAATAAATAATAAAGTAATACAACCATCTCCATATAAATTGATAGATCGAAATTATGTAAGTCAATTTATTAATGTAAAAAATGTTATCAAATTTAATATATGTACATATTTTCTTTAGCCAACTAATGTAGCTCCATCTATTCAAATGTCAATGCCAAAGGCAATTCCACCATTTCAAAGTATACCACAATCAGTATCACGTATATCGACTGGTCAAACTGTTGAAATTGAATCAAATCAATTTCCAACATCAGATGACGAATTAATAAATTATCCAAAAGTTGATTTAAAAGGACATACCGTTGAGGAATTAGCACAAGCAGCAAATGTTTCAGTAGATATTATTAAAGGTGCCATCGCTTTAAGACAACAACAATTAATTAAAGATTATCAAGCATTTTTACAAAATCAAAAACAAAATAATCAAAAAAAACAATCTGATGATACAAAAGATGCACCATTTTTACCTACTCCAATTCCAACAAGTACATCATCTCCAACAAAAACAACCACAACAACATTTACACCAAGAAATAGTAAAAATGGTCAAAAGGTAATAAAAATTTTTAAAAATAAATTTTCAAATGAAATTAAAAAAAAAAAATAATTTTTCAAGGTAATGAATGCCCCAAAAGAATATTATCCGGTTGGTTATGAAAAAAATTTCGATGATAATTTTGAATCAAAAGTAGATCTTCCTAGTACATCATTTAATTGTGGAGAACAAAAACATTTCCCAGGTTTATACGGTGACATGGATTTAGGATGTATGGTATGTTTCAAAAATTAATCTATTATATCTGGTGGGATTTGTACATGTTCCTCTATACAAAATTTTCATTATTCTTATTGATTAATAAATTAATATTTATTAATTTAAAAATTTTTATTTGTAGGTCTTTCATGTTTGTGCATTAACTGACGATGGTTTAATAATGAAATCATTTTTATGTCCCGAAAGTACATTATTCGATCAAACAATATTAAAATGCAATTGGTGGTTTTATGTTGAATGCAAGAATAGTAAAAATAATTATGACTCAAATATACCAGTTTCGAAAAGTTATCAACTTATGAAATCATTAACATATTTTGCAAATTATAGTAAAAATAATACATCAAGTAATGAAAGTGAAGTTAATATGGAAGCATTAAAAAATACTGTATTAGATCCAGAGCCACCAAAAACAACTTAGTTTTTTTTTTTAATTAAATTATATTAAAAAATAAAATAAATAAATTATTAAAAATATTTTAATTGAGAAATGTAAAACATACTATACATAAATTAATTTTATATAAGTAGAAGACTTATTAAAAATAAAACGAGTTAATTTTATAAAATTCAAGAGTAACAAATTATAATTTTAATGAACTGTAAAATTATTGTTTTTTAAAGAATTTTATTAATAAGTACTTTTGAATTTAAAAAGTAAAATCTGTTTTCATTAAAATATTTTATTTATTAATGAAAATTTTGTAATATTTATTAAATTGTATAATAATTATGAAAAAGAGAAATGATATTCGATTTATTAAATAGAAATTTATAATAGACTCAGGAAGCGTATAGAAAGCTAATCATTCTTATATCAAAATTAAATTTTATCTCTACATTTTTTTTTATTGTAAATATTTGTTATATTTTTTGAATTATGAACAATTTAAACTTGAATTAATTAATTATTTTATAAAATAATTTCGAAAATTCAAAATTCAATAATATTTTATAAATAAATCAGCAATATTCGTGAATTTGAAATTGTCATCATTTTGTCAATTATTGTATCGAAAAAGTATGATTTTTTTTTGTCATTTGTATTTGAAGAATATCGAATATCAAAGATCTATTAACTAATTATTAAATATAAATTATAAATACTACAAATTATATTTTAATATTAATAGAAAAGGAGTTGTTTTTAGAGAAAGAATTTGTTCATTTATCAAAAATCATTTTAAAATTCTTTTATTATGGTATAATTGTTATTGGAAAATTATTAATAAAACTAGGGTTCAATTATTGAAGTTGATTTATGCTAAATCGAAATATTTAATTTGTAAATTAAGAATAAAATTTTATACAAATTGAATTTTTTTTTTTTTTATAAAACAAAATAAAAATTTTACAATATGCAATCATCTGTGGTCATCCATTTTTATTCTGAAATTTTGTTTCTTTTAATCATAATTTACAAATGAATTATTTCGATTTATTATGAAAATCGAATTCCGTAATTAAGCTATTCAGCTTTTGAAAAATGTCAAAATAAAAAACAAAAATTTAATTATGGGATATTTAATAATTGGCACCAATGTCATTTCTGTATTTATATTATGGTTATTATATAAAATATTATCAATTAATTATATTTTGATTGATAATACTAAATTTAAAATTATATATATTTTTTTTTTGTATTTTCTCGCAACTATAATTTAAGAATTAATATTTTTGTTATGACGTTACTTATGTTAAATTATTATTGTTTTTAAATTAATTTTATATATTTATATATTAAATATTTTGTATTTTATATTTTTTAACTCTTTTACTCTTAATTTATTTATTTTAATTTAAATTTTATAAGAATACTTTCTATTCAGTCAATTCTCATTTTCAATAATATTATATTCATCAAATAAAACTGTTATACATATTTTAAAAATAATATTTAAGATTCTGATTCTATTCATATTCATTTTTAAAAATTTTCTTAGAAATATATATTTTTAATAAAATATACTATTTATTATGAGAATTAATTGTGAGAATTCTGTGACTTTTTATCAGAATAAAAAATATGAATACTATAGTTGGTCTAAATGCTTTTATGTAAAATTGAGAGTACTTTGAATTGTTTTAGATTTCTAATATACAAATAATTTAATATTCTAATTATTTTATAAAGTTTTTTTTTTGTAAATAAAATAAATTAAATTTCATGAGAAAAAATAGACCAAATGCATTTATATCTATCTGCTTCAAAGTCATAGAACTAGTGTGTAATTTAAATTCTCAATGGTATATATAGAATACGATTCAATTATTTATATAGAATGAATTAAAATCACTTTTATAGTCTTAAAATATTTACAATTACAATTGAATTTGGGATAATAACTATTACAGATAATATGCTGAATTACTTAATATTGTTATCGTCTTATATTTTAAATAAATAGATAGTGCTAATAGTTGACTATTTGTTTTCCCTAATAAAATTAAATTTGCCAAAATTTACTTTAGAACATACTTGAGAATTGTGCAAAATTTCTTGTCTATTTCCGCAAAATAATTCAACGTAAATCTACAAAGAAAATTTATATTTAGTAATTTTTTTAGTATTGTAATTTAAAACTTACCATAATAGTTTTTGGAAACTATGCTCTGTTAAAAAAAATATTATAATAATTTATTTCATAAATTAAGATCATTTTTTTAAGTAATTCAGAATATATTTTCATACTTACTGTATAAATTAAGTAATAAATACCATAAATAAATTTCAAAATTTAAATATAATTTGTAAAACTTTTAGTTAACTATATAAATTAATTGTAAGAACTTTTTAAATTGTACAATTAAATAATATTTTAATATAAAAAATATTTTGTTTTGTTATTAATTATGTAATATACATATTTAGCTATTAACTAAATATCTGTAACTTATATGAAGTTGCTATAAACGTCCCCCCCCCCCCCAAAGTTTAAATTTATCATCTACAACAAAAATTATATCTTGTTCATTGTTTCTATTACATTAATACATTTTTATTTTAAATATTATAGAACACAGGCCTCTAAATTTTTAATGAAATTTAACTGACTATATTATTAAAATATGAGAAAAAATAATTCTAGTCAGTTTACTAGAAAATGTATAATGCCACACAATACCCATTACCATTTCAATATTATTTTAATTAAACAATATTTGTATAGTCCATATATTAGGAAATTTGTGTAGATTAGCTAATTGATTTTTATGATAATTGTACATTTTTACCGAAAAAAAAATAATTTCTTTATATAAAACAATAAAATAGCTTTTATAAAATTTCTATATTTTTTGTTAATGATTTTAATTTTGATGTAATTATTATCTGTGATTAACTCTAGTAACTATGAAATTACATATTACTATAATATCATATATTGTATACATCATATATTGTATAAAATCTCCATTCCACTGTCGATTTCTCTAATATATTTGCATAGCGTTTCATATATATATATATACATATATTTGCATTTGAAACATTGAAAAAAATATGTAAGTAAAATTACGTTAAGTATGCGATAATTTTTATATTTTTCAAAAAGGAAATTATACAAAGTCAACAAATGAAGCCTCCAAGATTTAATTTTTTTAAGGATTTTCAATTTTTATCAAATTTCCAATGCAAAAATAAAAAATTATGTTAGGCACAAATTTTAGTAAGAAAATTTTGAGAGCTTTTACAACTACAATTTACTGAAAAAGCATTATTAAAAATTGGTTAATATTAATAAATTAATATATATATATACAAATTTTACGATTCCCGATAAATTTGCTGAATATCTGAACGATTCTGAACTACATTAAATAATTGTAATAATTTTAATAAAGAATTTATTCCTGAAAGGTTTGAAAACTACAAAATAATAAAACTAAACTGGACAACTTATTTAAAGTCAATAATACTTTTTTTTTTATTATTATTATTATTATTATTATTTAATTTACATCGTTCAATTTTTTTTTTTTTTATTTTCTTTTTGTTAAATAGAATTCTAAATTTACATACTTACACATAAAGTAAACTTGTAAGAATAAGAACAATTTTTTTTTTTTTGTTTAAATGTAATTTTTCTCTTATTTTTTTTTGTTTGTTTGTTTGTAATTTTAATGAAATTTTGGACAGTTCTTTCGCTTTATATTTTCTACGATTTCCTACATGTATGTATGTATATATATATATATATATATATATATATATATACATAAAATGTAACTATATCTTGCATTGCTTTTAATTAAATTTTTTTATTTTTTGTATAGTGTAGTAAAATATGGCAATGGCGTGTGTACTTTATTTAAAACTTAATTAATATTTAATAATATAATATCTAATATATTTTTGTTATATGCATGTACTTTTTTTTTTGTTAAGACCGAAATCCTCCTTTTTTGTTAGTAATATATTTTTATTCATTTAAAAATTAAAATATATTCACATATATGCATACATATGTATGTATATATACTTTTTGCTCTATCTAAAAAAAAAAAACGAAAAACAAAAATATTTATATTTTACTTTGTCATATATTGAAGTTAATCTGTAATTATTTTTGAATATTCTGTTTGAATAAAAGAAATACATATGTATATAATTTATGCAACTATAATGTTTGAATTTTTATATATATATATATATATATATTCATATCCTTTGTAATTTTTCCTACTGATCCTGTATATACATATATATAATATATTATTTTTTGAGAAAAATTTTGAAATTTCTATAGTAGATTAGTAAAAAAAAAAATGAATTTTCAAATGCACGGTAATTGTTTTTTTTTTATTTATTTATTATTAAGGATTTTAATTATTTAGTATTTTTATGTATTTTTTATATTTGTATAAAAAATTTATGAAATTTTTTAAAATCATTTGTTTTTGAAACTAGAATTCTTGTTCTTAATGTTGTCGCAAGTCATTTTAATTTAGTTTGAGATGACAAAATGAAATTAAATATTACTAGACAAAATTCTACGGTTCCAAAGAAGAAAAAAAAAAAAGGTTTTAAAAAAATATATCACGTATTATTTTAAAATAATCTTTTATTATTTCTATAATTTTTATTGTTAGACTATATTATTATTAATAAATTAAATTAAATTGTTTCGGTTATTTTCTTTCATTTTGTTGGTACTCGCGCTAAATTAATACAAACACTTTCTAATACAAAGTCGAAAGAAGATTTTGGATTAAATATGCAGGCCATTTTCATTTATGTTAATATTTATTATGCACAATTTAAAATTTAAATTTAAGTTTTATTATAATACAAATTTATATACAAAAACCTTTTTTTTTTTATAAATATTGAAAAAGAGAAAAAAATAAATAACATAAGTAAATGAATTCTGAAAATTAAACTAAATATTTTTGCTTTTTTTTTTTATTTTTCATTGATTAAAAACCAGTTTTAGTTGATCTGAAATTAAAATTTTAATTAATAAATTTATAAAAAAAAATTTCAATTATTTTTATTTATAAAATCAAAATAAAATAGTGTAGTTCGCCTTTTTCAATGAAATTTTTAAATATTTTTTTTATTTAATTATTTAAAATAAATAATTAAGATTTTAAAATTTTCTTTTTAATAATGAATGCTTAATGCATTACTTAATTTCCAATTGTTTGTTTTTTTTTTTATAAATTAATTTTAATTTTTATTATAATTTTTTTAAGAAAATTTGAAATATATTGAGCAATTATACATTTTTTTTTTTTTATTTTGGAATATTCATTTTAATATTCTTACTTTCCAAATGAATTAATTTCATCGTTTCAAAATCATTTATCTGAAAAAAAAACAATAAGTTTAATAAAACAAAAATAAAAAAAAAATTTAAAAAACTTAAATGATTCTATATTACCGCGCTATATTTTTAATTATTTTCATTATTTAAAATTAATATTTATTGGGTGTAATTATTTAATTTATTATGTTTATGTGCGCATTATAATTTGTTGAATATGCTTTTCTATTACTTTAATGTAGTTAATGCCTTTTTATCAATATTATGCCTATAATTTCTTTTTTTTTGTTTTTTTTTTTCCTATTTATTTTATTTATATAAGTGTGTATACGTATAGCAAAATATTTATTGAAAATTTATTTTTATAAAAGGAATCAAAGTGATTAAAATTGATTTTTGATTTTTTTTTTGTTTCTTTATGCTAAAATATTATTATATTTTATTAAAATCTCTGTGACTGATTCTGTGTTAATGGGAATATAAGAAAATTTGAAAAAGTATTTTCATTACATTTTCTACTGACAATTTGAAACTGTAAGTTTAAAACCAAAAATTTTGATTTACATATTTTCTATATAAGAATAATTTATAATAAAAGATAAATAATTTTATAAACTGAAAAATATCTGTTTATAATCTTTACCCAGACAAAAGAAATTTTTCATTTCTTTAAATTTATTTTTCTAAATATATAAACTTGTTTTTAAATATCTAAATTGTTTTCAATAACAAGATTTATTTCCTCTAAAATAAATCAATAATCAAGGACATGTCATTGGAAAATAATTTTTTTTTTTGTTTCCACATTAAATTTTTATTTTATTTGTGTTTATTATAAAAAAGAAATAAAAGAACAATTTTATATTAAATATCATTTCATCAATAATATATTAAAAAACAAAATTAAATAAAAAGAAAATTGAAAATTTCTTCATTTTTTTTTAATTTCTTTTTTTTTTGCAAATGGAACATTATATAGCAAATTGTACATTTTATAATTAATATTTATCATTAATTAAGTTTAAAATATTCTTAAAACATTTCAACTACCAGCACACATTTTCTTAAAAACACAAAAAAAAAAATGTCGTTAAAACAAAATATTTAATAAATTTATATAATACAGCAGTATAAATTATATCTTATATATATATATATTCATATTATAAGTTTTAATAAACATTAAATTACACAAAATTATGAGTTATAATAAAAAAAAAATACTAAACATAATAAAATCTTTTCCATGAATTTACAAAAAAAAAAAAAAAACCAAACAAAAAAATAAAAAAACCTTATTAAAAATGTTATGCTAAATATTTTAATGTGCATTAGGCCTTTATTAAAAACTAAACCGAAAATTTTTTTTTCAATTATTTATAGAATATATATATAATTTTAAATATTTTTTATACAAACAATATTTTGTAAGTATACATTTATAACAAAATAATATAGTAAATTTGAGGAATTTTTTTTATAAAACTTAAAATATCATATTCTATTTAAAGCATTAGCTACTTATGACGTTAGTTACTTTTTACACATTGAATCTTTGATTCAAGCAGATAATACACTAATAAATTCTATTTAAAATATATCAAAATAAAATTACAAACATAATTATTAAAGAATGACTATAAAAAGTTATCTTTTGAGTTCAATATTCGATATTCTCTTTTTTTTTTTTAATTTCAACAAATAAAAATATTGTTTTCAATTTATTCAACCGGAATAGCAGAACATCTTTTTTTTTAAACATGCTTTAAAAAAAAAATTCAAAAATCAATTTAAATATTAATTAGTAGTTCTTCTGAAAAAAATATTTTTATTTACATCTATAAATTACAATATAATATTTATAAATGATAATTTATCTAAATCACATCTAAGACGAACAAGAAATTAACCCAGGATAATTGAACTGAACTAAAAAAAACTTGATGTGAGAATTAAAAATAAATCGAATATGAATCTCAATTTGTTACTTAAACATTTTAACAATTTATTTATTTTATGATACAAAGTATTTTTTTTTTTTTGCAATCTTCTTTCCTTTCCAAAGGATTCAGAGAAGGAATATGTACTTTCTATGCTACAAAACAATTACTTTGATGTATTTTCAAAAAAAAAAAAAACATAAACAAACTATGAAAATTGTCCAACAATTAAAAAACTGAAATCTCATTTAATATTTATTAAAATGGAAATAAAAAAAAGAAATCAATCTCAAATTGATTTTGAAAATCTCGAAATAGATCTATACACTGTAGTTTAATATTATTTTTAAAGTTTAATAAAAATATAAATATATTATCAAAAAAATAATATATTAATATAAATACATACAATAAAAATATATATTACTGGATATAATGTATATTCATAAATATAATAATGCTATAAAATAATGTAATTAAATGAAATCATATTAAAATTTTTACACATACTTTTTTTTTAAGTATTTTTAATATGTTTTAGATAAAAGAAAAAACTGAATTTATATTAAGATGTTATGATATAAATATTGTTATAAAGCAATATTATTTTAATGTACATAATTTTTTTGTTTTGTAATAAGCACAATTCATTCAAGCAATCATTTTAATTCCTTTTATAACTCGGATATTTTAATTATTTTAGAGAAATTGAAAGAACTACAAGAAACTGATAAAAAGAGCTAAAAAGAAATTAAAAAAAAAAAATTTAAAATACATTGTTAAAAATCTATATTAAAACTAATATTTGTGTCCAAAATCACACATGATAAACACAAAATAAAAAATTATAGAGTATCGGCTAATTCCTAAATTCCATGTGTTAGCTTTATTTAATATGTAATAAGTTTTGCATTTATCTTTTTAATTGCTTAAAACAAAAAATAAAATCATCTTTTCGCTTTAATAATTTTTATCTACATAATTAATTAACAAAAGTATTTTAGGTCTAATTGCCGCTTATTTTTTGCCTTTTTTTTTTAGTTTACATTTTTTATAGTCATTTATTCTTTTATACTATACAAATTGTGAAATATATTAAATTTAATATGTATATATATATATAAATTAAAGTAAATTTTAAATATTTTTTATAATAGACGTTGCAATCTGTCCTTTTCTTTATTAAATAAAATACAAGTAGCGTATTGAAACACAACTTGTAATATAATTTAAATGAACGTTTTTCAAACTTTGTAATATTTTTTTTTATTAAGCTTTCTTGTAAATATAATTTACACTTTAACAACAGTTTTTACTGTAAATTTCCATTTCATTAATTTTTTTTTTTTAACTTTTACTTCATTTTAATTAATTACATGTGTTTGTTTTTGAACATTTTCATTTTTTAAACGAAATAAATATATGTGTATATATATATATATTTTTTTTTTTTCTTAACACATATTAATTTTTTATCAAGAATTTTGTTATTGTTTTATATCTCATTTTTGTTTTAAAATTATTATATATTAATTTTCTTATAATGTTAAATAATTTTTATTAAATAAATAAATTGAATTAATCACTATCGGCTCGCATTCCTCTTACTTCACCTTGTTGACGTTGGCGATCTAATTCTTCTTTGGTTTTTTCTTCAATAGCTCGAATATCATCCATAGTAAGCCCGTGCCATTTATCCATCCAACAGAAAACTTGCCTTAAAATATATAAATAAAGTAAAATTAAATGTATTATGATTATCTAAAATGGTGTATAAAGTACCGATGGAAAACCGTAAATAACCTTCGTTCTGATTTTTGTATAAAATTTTCTATTCTAGTTTGTAAACCGAACCATTTAAATTCACAAGTAACCAGTTTATAACATGTCATGACTGGATCAACTTTATTTTTCCATTCTGCTTCAACTAATGGGCCTCTTCCAGTTTTCTCAGATTTGAATCTAAATTTATAATTATACATATGTACCTACAGATGAAATTTAAAAAATTGCAAGTATATTTACTTAGTTGGATCCTCTTCCGGTTTATAATCAGCGGCAGATACAGGATCATTTGCAATATCAATATTAACGACTTCACGGATTTTTAATTTTTCTGGAGGCAATTCGTGAACCTTTTTATTAAAACAGAAACATTTATAAATATAAAATATTTGTTATATGTTTATAAAAAGTTTACAAATTAAAGCAAAGAAACTGTTAGTGTTATTAATTTCGGAAATTAAGAGCAAAATTTTATATTTAAGCAAACAAAAAGTATACAAATCATAAAAATTTTATGTACTAGCAACATTCAGCATACAATAATTATCCATTATTAGTTACAAATTAAAAATAAAATAAAAAAAAATAATAAAACAAACCATTAAATATTTTATATTAATAATTAATATCAAAATTGAAAATAAAATACTCATTTCAAATAATAGTTATGCACTTGTGTATGCAAAAAATGAAAAAATAAAATAACTGAAATTTTGCAATTTAATGAAACAACTTACATTGTTTCGTTCTCCTTTATCTGCTATATGGAGCGACTCTATGCAGATAACGAAATTTTCTTTCATATAACCCGGGTTCTTAATATTAGGCATCAATTTGTCATATTACAAAAATTAGCATATATGTATTTATATAACATTTATTTATATTTGCATTATGCATTTATGAGAATTTAATAACATAAAATATACGTACAAATATTGACCACCACAAATATGTTAAATTTTAAAATTTTAAGTTTAATTAACATTTAGTTCCCCCAAAAATTCACCAGTTAATTTTATATATTTTTGTAAAGAAAAAGAACAAAAGAAGAAGAAATACATTAATATTTATTTCTTATTTAAAACTTACGTTAATATCTTTTTCTTGTGGAACACCTGCCATGTGCATTGTTTCAATCATAAGAACAAAATTTTTTTTCATATATTTTGGATTCTGATTTTAAATAATAAATAATTAAATCTTAATTGAAATTTAAAAAGAGAATTGCAATTAAAAATAGAATAAGAAATTGCAATTTATTGTTGCAATTTATGCATACAATTTATATATTAAGAAATTGCAATTTATACATAAATTGTATGCATTTATAAATATGAATTTTAAAATAGATTTATATAAATATTGGTACCTACACATATATAATTTAAATATTTATATATTATGATAATTTTTGGAATAAAAATGATTAAAAATCATCACAAGCTTATATTCCTTGAATTTTGTCTTTCAATATTACAATATCAAGTTTCACTTACAGTTATTACAGTCCTGCAATAAGGATAAGCATTCCAAGCTTCTTCATGAATTTCTAATGCACCTTTTGGTGCAAGCATTTTTATAAATGCTGGTACTTTAGAAGCCAAATGATAAATTTTATACGTATACTGCCCCGCGCTATATTTTCCACCTACAAAAAAAATTTCAATACAGTCAATTAAAATAAACAAAAATAAAATTAATAACTTTATAGGATACCTAATAAGGGGTAGTTGGTGAATGGTTCATTTTTTAAAACTTCAATACCTTCGCCACCTCCAGTCTCATTTTTAGAAGCTTCGGCAACCGAATATAATTGTGCAACTTGATACTATAATTTTTAACAAAATTTTTTTTTATTTAATTATTATTAAAATTAATAGAAAATATTTACCTCATCAACTGTGAGTGGCAAAGTTACTCGGCTAAAAAGATATAATAAAAATTTTATGAATTAAAAACAAATATTTTGATGTTTTTAAGTGAGTTAACTATTTATAAAAAATTCAATTTATGTACATATACACATTTTTTGTACTCTTTGCACATAGAAAAATTATGAGGTAATTAGAACTGTTTTTATACAAAAATAGCTCCCACTTAATAATTTAATGTCAGGATAAGATTACTAAGAAAATATGAATATGAAATTTTTGCTAAAACTTTTTAATTGTACGTTGCTTGAACAAACTTATGAAAGTTTAATGAAAAAAAAAAACCTTGGACTTTGTTTAAGTAGATACATACACCTATTTTAGTTAACTGAAATATTACTTTTTATTTTAATATCAAATTCAATTCAAACTACAAATTATCTTCTTACATAATTTATCGGCAAACTGGAATGTATAATTTATTACGAATTATATATGTAGCTCAAGCAAAAAAAATTAATTGTACTTACGCACTTAGTTACAAGAGAAATAGTTAATAATATGTAAATTATAAAAGTAATATTTTACGTATTCCGTAAGTACATAGTTCCGAACTTGTTTTGAAATACATATTGGTATTATGAACATTTATAAATTTTTAATAATCAAGAAAAATAGAAAACATGATAAAATTTTCTCAAAATTTGGCATGATTCAAATCTTCATTATAAACATTAAATACATAATGCATTGTATTCGACATCTACCTACATAGACACCAATTTTTTAAATCATTTTTTTTTTTTTTGGTAGATTTATCTAAAATATGGATTTTCTCTTATTTATCTAATATTATTCAAATACAATAAAAGCTAACGTAGACTATATTGCCTATATAAGAACAATAAGCAGCATGGCTTTTCTAAATCTTCCGATAAGATAAAATTACAAAACATTTTGCCAACTTTTCAATTTTTATGTTCTGTTATTTAATTTATTATACGTATGATATCGTTTGTTCGTCATCAATAAATGATATATGTATACAATTAGGTAGATAGGAAGTAAATTATAAAAACTTTTATATGTTGTACACATTTTGGACCAATGTCATTACCGTCACTGCAATTTAATTAGAATTTTTTTTGAATCATTTCACTTTTCTTTAGTGTCAATTAAATTTGATTTTGGAAAAATAACATTTTTATATTATAAAGATTCACAAACAAAGAAGTTTTTTTTATATATTTCTTAAAATATATTTAAAAAATTCGATCTTGAAGTAAAAAAAAAATCGATTTTGTTTTAGCATTGAAAATTCTAAAGCACCTTTAAAATTTTTTCTTATTCACTCTAACTTTTTATTATTCATATAAAATACACGGCAATAGTAATTTTAATCGAACATTACAAAAGCATTATTAACTTACAATTCCTTGATTAACATATTTTAAACTAAAAGGATACTTTTATATTATTCTTAAAAATAATAAAGGAAAACTTTGGTAATTCTAATTTGTAGTAGTACTTCACAGTTCACAAATGGCAAAATTTTGAAAATCCTGCCTCCGCACTCAAATCACTTCCTGCACAAATTAAATTTTGATTTAACTTTGACAAATTATGAAGCGTCATTTGAAATCTGTCTTTTGAATGTCAAAATAGTTAATATACATACCTCAGTGTCAATATATTAATATCGTAATATGAACGCAACCAATTTATTACCGAAATGAAAAATTTTCTTCGTTTATATGGTTTGGGCTGAATGGGATTTTTGTGGGAAGTAACTGTCAACTTATTTATGTACTACTCGAAATCTGTTTAAAATCGTCTTCAGGCTGCATAAAAACAAAAATTGTGTTTATACACAGGAAATAGAGCTTAGGAATAGGTTTTTAAAAAATGTAAACCAACATACTAGAACTTTTGAAAATTAAAATTTATAAAAATATAAAAACATGCTAGATTTCTTCACGAGATAGAAATTTATAAAAAATCGATTAAATTTTAATAAATAATGACTCCCGAGAGTTATTTTCAATTAACTTGATTAAAAAATGACTGAGTTATTTTTTGGCAAAGTCAAAGTATATACTAAAATAATACAACTTGTCAAAAAATCAAATAATTCTTGGTCAACAAAATATGCTCAAGAAATAAAATGTAAAAAGTAACTAAGTTAAAATTTAACTCGGTCTCGTGAAAGAAGTTATTAAGTACTACCATACATATATAAAGATGTGTAAAGAAAATAATTTAATTTTTTTTTTACATTTTTATAATTGTTCCTGCCACTTTTCTGCAAGTTAAATTAAATCTGTAAAGAAATACAATGTCTGTCTGCTATAAAATTGGGAAAAACTTTAAATAGAAAAAAAAAGGAACGTTCTCATTCAAAAAAAAATTTCATTTCAAAAAGAGATAAACTAGACGACAAAATTTTGAAAAACAAAATGTTGTTAATTGGCAATTTTCGAAAATGTTTCCTTGAAGTTTGTTAATTTTTATTTAAAACTAAAGAATTCTAAATTAAATGATTTCCCATTATCAAAATCTTAAATTTAACTTAGTGCGTATAATAACATTATGCAAGACGTGGCGCTGCCATCGTTGAAATTTTGCTGAAGTTTGGCAAGCCTTATATATCAAGTAGTAATACACCCATCTATTTAATATAGAATACCTATATAAAAATTACATAACCATTATATTATATCATGTACCGGATGTACGTTGGCGGATTGCTGCGAAATTGTAATAACTCAAAAACTGTTAATTTCTACAAAAAATGTATGGAATTTTTTTTTATTGTATAAATAATGAGTAAACTATGAAAAAGTAGAAACAGATCAAAATGAATAATAAAGTTTCAGCATTAGGTATATGTAGATGTAACGACTGGTATAGCTAAAAGTATGCTATTTGCTAAATTTCGACTAATTTTTTTGTCGAAATTAAAAAAAATATAATTTATTTTAGATAAAGAAAAGCCTTTTGATAAATTTTGATTTATTTTAGATAAAGAAAAGCCTTAATTGTCATATTTAACTAGAAAATAACATTTTTTGCGTTATTAAATTTTACAATAATCGAGCCATATGGAAATATACATAATATTATGTTGTATGAACAACAGCAAGAATATTTTTTTTAAAAATTTGATTGGGCGAAATCAAATATTCAATTATTTTTATAATAGATCAAAATAATACCTTATCGAGTTATGACTTTCAAAATTTAATACATTTTAAATTTTTAATTTCCTTTTTATGTTACTGTTGTTAAATTTTAAAAACATTTACCATGCGCTACTGAACAATTTTAAAAATTTTATCGGGTTCATCGAAATGTAATTTTTATACCGATAATTTTATGCTAATATTGAATTGAAATGAAAATTGAAATTATTGAGACAAACAATTTTTATATTTCATTATGTATCAAGTTTAAACAAAATAGGTAAAAAACATTTTGGAAAACATTTTTTTTTATAATTTACATAATATACACAGGAAATTATTAATAATAAATTTATAAAATAATTATTTTAGTACAAATATTTTTATATTTAAACAAAATAAATATTTAACTATAATTTAAAAGAATTAATTAAAAGAGAATCTTGAAGTTGCATTTCAAGTTCAACATCTGATAAATTAATCTCACGTAAAGAATTTATGTACATATAGCGGGAAAAATAAATATAAAGCCACCTAAACCATTTCATTTGAGATTTATGTTTTTTCATGGCACTTCTGACGATTGACCCACTTTGCCAACTTAAAATAAACCTGAAAATTTACTATTTTAGATATTTAGTTTAAAATTAGGCAAACATTAATTACCAGTTGGTCGACAATAAAAAGGTACATAACAAATCAAAGACTGAAATGTATTTTCTTATAACATTAATTGAGTCCAGTGTATATATTTTACAATCTGTAAGAAAAGAAAATGATTGAGGTAACATTTTATTTTAATTTATTTTTGAATAATTATTTGCAAAAACTTAAAACAAAAATAATGTTTTGGACTGAAAGCAACAAAAAGATGATTATTATTCTAATATAAAAAATGGCACATTTGAGCTTTTATATTTAATTAACCTCTTAAATATGGACAGACTTATGTACGTAAACTAAAAGGGAATGGAAAGTTATAAATTTTTCTCTACACGTAAAGACTGACAATGGTAAAAAGATGTGTATAAAGGCTAATAGAATTGAAAATCTATTCATCAAAAAAATCAAAACCGATTTTTATAAATAGGGCAAACAATTTTCGTATCATAATCATGTTACAAATGGGCAACAAATTTTTTAAACAAAGCCTAATATGGATAACTTGTTTACCTACCTTTTGGTAACAGATTTGCTAAGCACAAAGATGCAGTAGCATAGTATATAGCACAATGATTCGGATGTTGACTAATTCCATCGCGATCAAATGTAATTATACCATCAATGTCCAAACTTTCAACAGTATTTAAAATTAATTTGGCTACAGCTTCAACTTTCCATTCAATATTTGGATCGTCTGGCAACAAAGTTGCGTTAATTAAAATTATGTTTGATTCCGATATACCAAGTGCTGTACATGATTCCCATAGTTCGTTCCGCCTCTTTTTACCTTGTTTTTCAAAATTACCTTCATTGAAAAAATTTATCGTATTAATTTTAACAAAAGTGTTATTCATTAATTACCATTTGATAAGCACAATATATAAAATTCGCAATTTTCTCTACTTGTAAGAGTTAATATCGTTGGTCCAAAAAACATACATTCATCATCAGGATGCGATATAACAAGTAATATTCTATTGTGTTTTGGAAATTTTACATGTTTTACTAATTTCTTCAATATTAAATGGTATGGACGGGTTGTAAATAATATTTTGTATAAAGTAAGGCATACTATTAAGTATACCAATAGAAAATAAAATATATGCTCCAGGGTGTCGATTGAATTTGACACGAAAGTTGAATACGCTGATCGTAAATATATTAAATTGGTCTGCGTATTACTGCTATTAAGAATGTTTATCATTTCATTAGAAAATTGTTAAAATTATCCATTTATTTTCGTTATTTACACTATGTAAATTGAATCCTCATTTTTATTCCTCAAATTTAAAGTTGGAAGTCAAATGATTGTTCTGTTTTTTAATATAATTATAATTAATCAGTATTTTTAATAAGATTTATAAGAATATTTTCATTTTTTGATATTTCATTTTTTGTTACCTTAAACAACCACAAAAAATAAATTTAAAGAATTCAGGAAGAAAAAGTTATTAAAATATCAGTATGACATTTAAAACTTCAAATTGAACTTTCAAATGAACTTGTCAAATTGTTACGTTTGGGAAATTTCTAAGGGTTGTTTATTTTTAAAGTTCTTTCAATTTGCGTTTACATTTATCTTAACTGGCATTAACGCTGCCTGTACGGCTACTTTCTCTTAATTAAACTAAATAGGAAATATTTTCAATTGTCTAATTGTAGTTGACATTGTAAAATCAGATAAAGATTGATGAAAAAATATTAACGGTCTGCCTAACATCAGTTAATCATAACAGAAATGTGACAGCATCAAATTATAAGAAATAATCACGAGATTATTTTTCTCACAAGTAACTCAATCGTTTTTTAGAAGAAAAAAATATATCATATAAAAAATTACTGGTTCAAAATTTGGCATTCCAAAAAATAATGTCAGAAAAATGTAAAAAATAATGAAAAAATAATGCAAAAAATAATGACATTAACTTCAGCCGTGGTTCGAAGTCGTAATGGTTGAAGTTTAAAAACAAAACAAATTTATTTATTTTAATACATTAAAATATTTTTAATATCATATCATTCTTAATATCAAATTTTTTAAACAAAATGAATTTACGTAAATGAATATTTTCGTATTTTTATTTTTAATTTTTTAAACTATTTAAAAAATAGAATATTAGCGGTTTACTTTTGTTGTAGATTTCAATGCTGGACTAAATGGAATGACGATAGAATTAAAATAGATGTGTGTGTGGGAAATATTTTGCGCAACCAAGCATTTTATGATCAAAACATCCCTGATTTTAAGAGTAGTTGACATACCAAAAGTCAAATAAAAGTTATTAGTCTTCTTTGTGGTAATTTATTATTAATTTAATTTCGAGACAAAAGTATATTTTTATGAAGTTCTATTTAATTGTGCCATCATACAAGTTAGTGTAATTGTTTTTATTTTATTAAAATTTTTATAATGCCGAATAGAAGAAGTTATTACGGTATTGATTCTAGAGACATGCATCCAAGGATTTCTCAAAATTTTACATATGTATGTATGATATGACCAAAAAAAAAATGCATTTCAAAGGCTGTAGCATTGAGAAATGTACATGTATTTATTTTCTTTTCAGGTGAGCAGTTGCGTTAAATACATGATATTCCTCCTGAATTTCATATTTTGGCTTTTTGGAGGGCTTCTCATGGGTATTGGTGTATATGCATTTATGGATAAATTGCAATCAACGGGCTGGGTTCGTTTAGAAACATTTTACGATGTTATATTAAACATATCTCTTGTTATGATAATTGCGGGAGCTCTTGTTTTTATAGTGAGGTATGCGAATTTTTTAAATGAAATACATAATGTAATTTAAACGAAATTTACGTATATTTCAAATTTGGTTAAAATTTCAGCTGTGCTGGTTGCTTGGGGGCATTAAGGGAAAATACATGTTTATTGAAATTTTACTCGATGTGTTTGCTTTTATTCTTTTTACTGGAAATGGCTGTTGCTGTGATGGGTTTTGTTTTTCCACAAAATATGCAATCATTTTTGGAAGAATCATTTACGGATAATATAATCAAGCAATATCGCGATGATCCAGATTTACAAAATTTGATTGATTTTGCCCAACAAGAATTTAAATGTTGTGGTTTAAGCAACGCAGGATATCAAGATTGGGGTAATTAATATAAAATATAACATAAAAGCAAATAAAAGGAAATAAGGAAAATATATTCAATTATTTAATTTTTTTTAGGAAAGAATGAGTATTTTAATTGTTCTTCACCTAGCGTTGAAAAGTGTGGCGTGCCATATTCTTGCTGTATAAATGCGACAGATATAAGTTCTGGTTTGGTAAACATCATGTGTGGTTATAGTGTGCAGCAACAATCTGTTGCAGCTGCCAGTAAACGTATTTGGACAAGTGGGTGTATTGAAATTGTACGAGTTTGGTCTGAACGTAACCTTTATGCAATATCTGGTGTTGCTTTAGGTATCGCTTTAATTCAACTTTTTGTTATATATTTGGCCAAAACATTGGAGGGACAAATCGATTTACAAAAATCACGTTGGAATTCTTGAGCATACGGTTGGGATGGTGGTATAAAGTTTTAAATAGAACAAAAAAAATAAAAAACAAAATAAGCATAATAACCTATATAAAATAAACCAAATTTACGAATAATCTGTGAATTTTTATACACATTATGATAATTTGTTATATTAATGAAAAATAATTTTAAGAACATCTTACATTAATTATCAATTACGAATGAAATGGAAAAGTGTTACTTATCAATTTCCCATTTTATTCTTCAATTTATTGATAGAAAATTAAATAACTATCAATTGAAATCACTTTTCTCGTTATATGTAACGTATACATGTTTTTCTTCGAAAAAACAAATTTTTTTTGTTGGAAATTTTTAATTAATGTGCATTTAAAATTTTAATTTCAAATTAAAGCTATAATTTCAATATAAAAAATCAAGACATTTTATTAGCGAATGATATTTTTTATCAAATAGAGTAGATTTGTGTGTAGGATTAAAAAAAAAGTAGCTTATTCAAAATTTATGTAATCTCAATAAGTTTATTTAATTTTCTGTTTAAAGTATTAATATAAGTATTAATCTCTAATTACTCTCCTTTTTTGTAGTTTTTCAATGTGATTTGTTTTTAAAATCTAAAAATTTTAATTATATAATTGATTAAAACAAAAAGTTAAATTTTAATAAGGCGAAAATTTCTAAACGTAACCCCATCCCATTTTCAAATTAAAAGTAAAAAAACTAAAAAGGAAGTAATAATAATTTTAAAAATCTATAGAATTCTCAAAATGGAAAATTCAGTTTTTTGAATGTTATTTACTTTATATAGTAAACATATTAATGTAAATAAGTTTAAAGACAACAAAAAAAAACAAAAACAAACTTTTGTGCAAGATATTATTATACACATATATTTAAGCTAAATTTAAGGAAATTAATTGGCTCAAAATTTTGCAATTTAGGTAATAAAGGAAAACGATCAAAAAATATAAATACGATTTTATAATAAAATATAAAATCGTAAAATTGTTTCATTCTAAAACTGGTTATTCAATACCCTTGTGTTCATTATACTATTAGAATTTTCCCACCATTATGTCTTGTATACGTACTGTTGACACTCTTAGTTTACTTTACTTGATACCAGTTCATTAATAACTTTTTTTTTTAATTACATAAATATGTCTGAAGTTTAGATTATTTAAATATGGAAAAATATATTCTTTACAAAAATTTTTGAATATCGGTTTTCAAATACAATTTATTTCTAAGTTATTAATTTTTTTTCGATTTGATACTGTATTGCCATCATATATTTTCTATACGGTTAAAGATATAACTTTACTTTAATTATTATTTAAAGAATATTATGTCAACAATCGGCATAATTACTATATACAAAAGACCTAAATTGCGAAAAAATAAAAAAGCATAATTTTAATAAAAATGAAAAAATAATTTACTAGATTAAAAATATTTATATTGATAAGATAATTAGTACACATATTATGTATATAAAACAAAATACTGATTTAATAAAAATATTGTATCATTTTTTATTTCAAAAACATAATAAATGATGTCTCATAACATTACTGAGTTTAATTTCTTTTTGGCCGATTTATATTCACAAAATTTTTTTCCATGTTCGGGGATTGTTATTTTAATTTTTTACTCTTTATAAATGCTACATACTTTTAATCCAAATGACATAGAACAAATGCCTAAACAATATTTTATTTTTAAAATATTTTTTTTTATTTCAAATTTATGTATTTTTTTTTTGTTAAAAGTATTTTCACACTTAGAAAGTAATTATAAATTTTTAAGAGAATAAAACACTTAAAATAAAAAAATAAAAAATAAATGAAATAAATATTTTTACATTTTTTTAAATTTCCTGGAAATTCAACATTTTTTCTTTTCCATAAAGATATTTACAATTACATAAAAATTTAATTTATAAATATATTAATATATTTATTCATTCAAATTAAAAAAAAAATTTAAACTAGAAATTATCGCAAAAACTTCTTTTCCTCAAACATTTATTTATTAACCATACGAATTTTGTCCTTAATTATGTTACGCAAATCAGTTACAACTCGAATGTGATTTTCTTTGAATGTTTCAATTATATCATTCAATATTAATGCTTCGGTATCCGATCTTAAAGAAAGATCTGCCATACATTTTTCTAATTCTTTTGATGTTGTAGGTGTTTTCCATAACGCTGTAAGATTTTAATATTTTATATTATTAAATTTCATAGCAATGTATAATTAAGTTTTAAATTAAATTAATACATAATTTGACTTACCTAGAGAATTATAACAATTTTGTAATTGCTGCTTTAAATGTCGCATTAAATCTAATGTAGCTTGTAAACGTTGCTTATCATTTATTGATGCAGCACTACTGTTTGAATTATTTTGATCATGCCTTTTACTATCTTTTCTTTTCGCTTTTTTGTTATGAATGTTTTGCGAAGAGGTTTGAGAATATTTCTCGTGATATGCAGATAAAACAAATGCATATAAAGCTAAAATCTAAAAAAAAAGACATATAAAATATGTTATACAAGTTCGTTCTTTCAAATAGAATTTTCAAATTAATGAAATAATTTTACCTCTATTACACCATATATTTGATGATTCGTATTACGATAAATCCATAAATTATCATCAGATTTATTGTAATTTTCTATTGTATTCGAACATATTGATTCAAGTTTTGTTACCTCAGCGTTTAAATCTTCAATACGGTTTGATTCTAAATTACCATTGTATAACTCAATAGTAAATTCCGATAGTAATGTAATAAATTTCTCATATGGCAATGTTAACATAGAATGAAGCCTGGATGGAAGTAGAGTGACTAGAAATTGATTTGCGGGTTTTTCATAATTCATTTCTCTAATTCGACTAAAATGTTCAGCCCAGTTATTTTTAAGATTTTGTATAGTTATCACTGCATTAGTTTTTAAACAATTTTCTGTATTTATTTTTTCTGGAAAATGCAAAAGATCAATAAATGATGCGGTGATTCGCAATAATAATGAACGCAGTCTGAGAGCTTCTTTTTGTTGAACAAAACTCTGTTCAGTTTCTTTACATTTATCTATTATATGCATTGGATCCCAGTTTATCACTACCGAGAGATCACGATTATCTGCAAGTTCGTCCCATGAAATTCTGTCTTCGGAAGGTTTAATGCTCATTAACTTAAAAGTGTTCAAATTTTGTTGAATACCACCAGATAAAGTTATTAGCTCTAGTAGCAGTTCTTCAGCTGATATGGTTGCGTAGTGTATACTATTCCATAAACGATCCCTAAAATCCATAAATTCAACTAGTTTTGTGAATGAGCCGAATTTGTAAGACATAGCTATATATTCTAATCTCTCTTTATAGCTATTTGTGAAAAATTTCAATGTAGTTTCGTATACTGATTTTATAGCCCAAAGATGACCATATTGTGATAATAAAGCACAGTGTAAATAACCCATTGAATCTAACTGAATATGTTTAATATCTAGTAAATCATAAATTTGTTGCGCTCCATAAATGCAACCGAGATAATGATAACTCTTTAATAATAGTAATTTTACATGAAAATTACTTGGACTGTTTTTCAAAACATATTGTAGGAGGTAAACTGCCTCCATCAGATATTTTGAATTTTTTTCAGTAAGTGTCAAATCAAACATGATATTAGCTAAAAAAAAATAATTATTTATTTTTGGGAAGTTTTTTATACTAAGTATTGCAAAACTTTAATTTGCAAAATACCTGCTAACAAAGCGTAAGCATCTGATGGTCCCATATCTGTTGATAATAGTTCTTTGCCAAATGCACTAAAACCATTTTCATAATGCAGTTTTAAAGCAGTATACAATGCTAAAGAATGATCTAATCCTAAGTTAATATGACCACCACAAATTCGCGAAACTTGAAGCGAACAGATGTGTTTTTGCATTTGCAGTTTCTAATAAGTTATTTTTATCATAAAAATTGATACCTTAAGTGTTGCGTATTATTTAAATACTTACACCTTGGGGTAGTGACGCGGCGGTGATACCTGATTCCTTTAATAATCTTGTGGCCAATATAATTCTTTCTTCTAAGCAAACAGAACTCAAAAATAATGAGATGTCTAACGTGCAACAAGGTTTGTCCCCAAACAAATGATAATATTCGATTATTAAATCAGAGAACTCTCCAAGTAATTCGGCAGCATTCAGATTATTTGCTCGCATTTGCTTATGCAATTCTAATCTGGCAAGATATGGTCCACGCACCTTTTTACGCTCCGCTTCCATCAACTAAAACATTAAAGTAGAAAAACGAAATTATAAATTTTTTAACATTATTAAAAATTACTTGGCACAAAAAATCTTGGCAATTATCCATAAGGTTACAACCATTTTCGTCCACTTCACTGATTCTATGTAGTTCAAACACACTGGCTATATAGTCTTGATAATAGTCCCAACGATCGCGACTACAAATAAAATATTTTAACCTTGCTAAGTAATTATTTCAGTATACTTTTTACTCAGTTAAAAGTAAATTTTTGAGAAGCTGATTTAGTTCTGCCCATTTACCAAGCAATTTTAATAAATTAATTTTAAGTGAAACTGGAGCTCCCGGAAAATACTTCTGGCAAGTTGGTCCTTCTAAAAATGAAAAAGCTTCCGCATATTTCTTTTGATAATGTAAAATTGATAGATATAATTGAACTTCTTGTTCTCCATCAATTTTATTTTCGGTAATCATTTTTTCTACCATTTTTTGGGCTAATGAAAGGTACAGATTTCTTTTTTCATTATTTGAGCTTTCTGGACCCCTTACGCCCTAAAATTTGAGACATGATGTATGCAATTCAAAATTTACAAGACAAAAGATTTTACTTGCAAAACTACACTCATTACGGCCCAGTAATAATACGGATTTTTGGCTGCTGCTTTATATAACTGTAATGCTGCATATTGCTGTGATTTGTAATCATCTAAGCGAACATATGAAATAAATAGTTGGGCCAAGATTTCTTCATTTCCTGGGTATTGTTTAGCGGCATGGCTGTACAATTCACAAATTTTTTCCACTGAAAAACAATATTTTTCTAAAATATTTTTAAAAAAGAACAAAGCATATTACATTGTTCCATTTCTCTGTAACAAAATGAAAGTACTTGCATAGTAGCATCGTCAGAAGTTTTTTCCAAGGTAATGGTTTTTAATATTGCGTTGCTTTCATCTTCTCTGCCAAGTCTCAAAAGTGCCAACGCTTTCAGAGCATGAGCGCAGGTTAATGTAGGACTTTTCTTTAATAGTTTTTCCACTTCTTGTAAAGCCTTTTTATTATTTCCAACTTCTAGGGAATCTGAAAATGTGAATTGGCAAATAGGTTATGATTGTTCTAATTTTGGCCAAAAACTTTAAATAGGGCAAGACCCTTTATTACCATATATAGGACGAAGTCTCCTTTCAAAAACAGATGCATCTACATGCGCCATTATCTTTTATAAAATTTATTTGATTTATTTTTCAAAATAAATTAAATTTTCTTAGACCGCTGTCAATAAAAAAATGTTCTAAGTAAATGTCAAGAAAAGTTGTCAAAAGAAAAAAAGGTTGATTTGATTGCCAAAATTATACAAATTTAATCAGGGGTAAAAATTTCTATAAATAAGGTAATGAACTATTGTACAGTAAAACTTAATTAAATCGTTCATATAACAGGTTAAAATGAAAGAATGCTTTTACCATCGATCTGTTTTAATTCCGATATTAAAGAAATCAAGGGCTAAATATTGCTTTCATTTTTTTTAAATTGTTTTTTTTTAATTATAAAATTTTGAAAATATTTTCAAGCTAAAAATTTGTTGTCTCATAAATTTAACGTTAGGGCTTTAAAAAATTAAATTTCAACATGAAGTTGTTGAAATTTCAACATTAATTTTAGATCGTTTTTAATTTCCCTGGAACTTTTACAGATAGTTTTACAATTTAAAGGAGACCGTTTCTTGCAGTACAGTTAGACAAAGAGGTTGCGAGGACATTCTAACTTGCCTCTGCAAATATAAAATAAACTTATATTTTTATTAGAGTGAGAAATTTCTTTTATTTCTTTATTTTTATTTTGAGTTAGGAAAATACATACTGTTGTCTTTTGTATCACTTTTAACTACCTATTCGTGCGTCTCACTTTTGCATCTCATTTTTTACTCACTTTCAAGATTGTCCTTTTTTTAATAAATAATTAATTTTTTTAATTGAAAAAATTATTAAATTTTGTCAATTATCAAAATTCTTACCACTAGAAAATTACCTTATACAAATATACGATAGTTATTCACTTTCTTTCACTAATATTGTTTCTTAATACTAAATAAAACTTAAATCTGATTTGAGGAATATCTCAATCTTATTTCTTATTAATTATTAGCATTTATTGTAAAGGAAATTAAAAATAAATGTGTTTGTATATGTAAATTCAATATTGATACTGATAAAATGCTAATTTAAACGTGAAATTACATCAAATTGAGTTGAAAAAATCTTTTCAGAATATCGCGGCAATAATACAGTTTTTTTTTCTTTTAGTGGCAGTAGTAAAAATGTCTAGTGACAGTACTAAGAATACTTGAATAACAATTGACATTAATTGTCGAATTACGAAATTTGACATTTATGTATATGAAGGTATGTATAGTTATAATCTATAATGTTATTAAAAATTGCTTTAAGTGCCGGTCGTAGATTAGTATATCCAAATAAACTTAAAAGTAAAGGTAAATCAAATAATAATAATAAATGAAACAATAATGTAATATAGGAGGTAATAGGTTTGCGAAGAATTTCTTAAATTTAACAATGTGATTCCATGTACAAATTTAATTCGAAAATTTATGTTTTAAAAAAAGTTCTCTCTAAATATTTTCATAATTAATATTTATTTAACCTATAGAAAATATGTACATATCAACATAGTTAAATATATATACTAATATGTACATATACTTTTATTGTCTGTAATTAGCCAATAATATCAAATTTTGGTCAACTCAGTGTATTAATACACTAGACCGTATACAGTGTATTGTGTTGGAAATATAATTTTTATTATTATACTTAATATTATAGTCTTTAAAAAACAAGGTCTTCCATAGTCTTTTGTGCAAATGTAACAATTAGAATCACATGTAGGTATTTATGTAGGTATTTCCAAAAATGTTGGAAATTTGTATTATTGCATTGTGGAATTTAAAATGTTTTAGAACGTTTTTCTTAACCTTTTCAATTTTTAATAGCTTTTAGAAATAAAATTCCTTTAATGTTTTATAAGATAGTTAATAAGTTTTTAGGAATTCCTAACATCCCTTGCAAGAATTGTTACATGGAACGGAGCTCGAAGTTTGAGAGTACCTATTGTTTTATAATGAATACATTTAGATTTGCTACAACATTTGATATTTAGTTTTCATCCATTTTAAATGTTTAACCAGTTTTCTTTAACTTTTGCCGATCGGTAGGTAGGTCAATAATTATTGATTCCTGCATAATGCCCGCTCACTCATAAAATATTTATGTATGTATGTACCTATCTATATGAAAGGAACATAAAACATATTTGAGGATTAACATTAAGCAAGTATTATGTTGCAAGATTACTCTATCATGCAAAATATTAATATTTCTCATGATAATGTGAAAAGTTTTACAATTTAACTTAGGTTAGTTAGTATACATATGTGAACGTAAGAACCTAAGTGAATATAAAAATTGAACACTTATTCAGAAAAATAAGTTTTTACTAGTCAAAAATATCGAATATAAAATAATATTCTGTGAATTTTTTTAAATTATTTTGCCTTGCAAGAAAAAGGAATAACACAATTCTTTTTAAAATTCTTAAGTTTAAAATATTATATTTATATTTAATTCAAATTTAATAATTTTGTAAAATATAATTAAAATTAAAAAACTATATTTTATTGAAATTGTAGGTCCTAACATAAGATATTTTGTAAGTATGGTTGATAAAAAATTAGAGGCTGTACCAAATGTTGATATCGACAACGAAGGTGTTTTCAAATATATTTTGATAAAGGTGTACGGTAAAGAAAAATCTGATGGCAGTGAACCAAGTAAATTAATAGTTAGAGGATATCAAAGATGTCAATGGCATTGTAAGTACTTATGCTTTTATATTGCATTTATATTGTAATATTAAAAATTTTTATTAAAGGGTTGATGGAGTGGAAACATGATTTTTTCCATTATAAATTATTAAATATTTTATTCATGCATTAGTCAATTAAGAGTTTTTCTAATATGGCACTTTGTTTGGAATTTTTATTTTCAATATATTGTAATAGTTTAGATTATTCAGATACTGTGTAAGATTTACTTTCTTTAGCCATTTGATAATAAACAAACTCAGTAGAATTTAATTTATAATTGAAATCAAAAATAGTTAAGTAGGTATCTACCTGCCTACCTATATATTTCTTAGTTTATTAGATTTTTTAACATTTTCAGCAAGATCTTCATGTTAAGAGAAATTAAAATTAAAAATAGTTTATTTTAAATAAATTTGGTATAGGTAACTTAGTTTATTTCCCATGTTTCTTTTTACAAATACAAAAAAAATTCACTTACAAATAATTTCGAATTACTTAATTTTATATATATATATATATATATATATATTTTTTATTTTGCAATTTGCATTTTAAATCTAAGTTTAAAGTTTGGTTTTTAATCTGTAAGTATTTAATTTAAAATAAATATAAAAGCAATAAATATTTTTTCTGCAGTTTTAAAAATTTACATTAAAAAAGCTAGATTTAAACGATTTACAGAATTTGTACATTTATACATAATAAATATAATTACACATGTATTTACTAAAAAATGATAACATACATATTGTGTACAACATTTTTTATATTATATACATTTTAATTATTATAATTTTCTTTTTCTTTTAAATATAATATATATTATTTAAAATACGTATAAATAACCATTTAATAAAATGAACTCCCGTTGAATCAAATTATAGATTGCAATTAAAACATTTGTCTATTTTTGAAGTGAAAATTCTCATTACGTTTCTGGTACCGCAAAGATATTAGAAGGAGTAAATGTAATATTAATTAAGACATAACCAATAAAACTAGTGTTAAAATAAATCTGCCGTATGTAATATCTCTGCATATGTATAACGAACATAGGTACATAACAAAAAAATAGTAAACAGTACATTCAAAATAACTTAAACTTATGAAAATTTACGAAATTAAAATAATGGAGTCATATTTAAATGGTATTTGTTAGTTTTCTAATTAATAGTAAAAAACACAGTTATGCTTTTAACAATTATTTGTGTCCATTTTTCCAATGTTAGTAAAAAAAAAAACAAGATTAAGATCTCATGAAATCTTTTGCTTTGTACTTAATCATCAGTTCCGATTGAATCAGCATTACTTAGCATTAGTTGATCGTCTGGTCCATTCCAACTGCAATCGCTACTTACAAATTTACAATTTTCAAATTTCGAAAATGTTTCAATATCTTCACATGATCTACTGTAACTAGAACGTTTAAGTTTAATATTTTGTAAAATTGTTTTTTCTTCTTTTTGCTTCAATTTAATTTTAATAGAATCCGTTTCTTGACTATCTTCTGACAAATTATGATTACAAGAGTCCTCTTCAATCTCATATTTCTCATTATGGTATTCTTCTTCAATTCTTATATTTTTAAATAATAAATCATTTTTTGAGAAATTTATACAATTTGTACATGATATTGATTTCTTTTCATGAATCTCATCTCTAGTGGTTTTTCCCTTTGCTATTATTTTATTATCGTTAAGTTTCAAATAATTTTTTCCATTAACATCTAAATGTTTATTAGAAATATCTTTATTAATATCACTTTCAATTGTATTACAATTCTCAATTTGTTTTTTACAATTATGTTCATAGATCTCTTCACAACGATTATTATCATGAGTAATTGACAGAGATGCTGTTGTTGCTTGACTATCACATTCACTTTTCATATCATATTCTCCTGAATTTTCGACTATATCTTTATTTAATTGCTGTTCTTTGTTACAGTCACATTTGCAATCAATTTGAATTTTTGAAAAAGATGTTTTTATTGTATCATCATTGTCACTGTCGTTATCACTGTGATTACAGCTACAGTTATGGCTATCATCTTCGACATAGCCTAATGTAAATGGTAATTTTAAGGCTACTTCACCACCCATTCCACTTAAATTTAATTTTACTTTAACGTAATATGAAACATAAATGGCAAAAACATTGCGATCTCCTAATGTTGGTCCACGATGTACACTTGAAGCAAGTTTAAAAATACTATTTGTTGGTGATTCTCCAATACTACCACCTTGAGAATAAGTACCTTCTACTGCGATCCAGTTTTTTGTCGTACCTGAAAATAAAAATAAATACGCAATTTTTCTTTATTAATAAAAAAATTATTTAATGTTAAGTTGATTATGTTTATTCCTAGTTTACTTGAAAATCCTGTGACAAATAAAGGGGTGGAGGAAAATAAACTAGTTAAATAATCTTTTAGAATTTTATTTGAATTACCTTTAATTGGAATCAAATTATAAATACAGCTATAACTTTCATTCGGTTTAATTTGATGATTTTCATTAACATCCGCGACTACATTTTTAAATTTACCATTACTAAACATACACACGTCAACATGTTGGACTGCGAATACCTATTTTGATATAAAATTTTTTTTTACAACTTAAAAAATCATAATAATTTGTACTAACCCTAATTTTTCGTATAATTTTTTTACTTTTATTATTTATATCAACTTTTACAAAAACACTTTCACCATGTGCAAATGCTGATTTATTTAATGAAGCTGACAGACTTACACGTCCTTCAGACCATGGGCAGGATTTATCGATACTTCCTTTTATGATCTGAAAATTTTTGGAATAATAATGAATTAAAATTAATTTTGAGTTGATCAAAATTTAAATTTAAGTTTGAATTTAAATTTGAAAGAAATTGAACAGTGATTTGAAGAGAATCCTTCCAATTTACGGAATAGATTAAAAAATATTTTATTAATTTAGATAAAAGATATTGCATTAATTTTTTTTTGCAAAAATAATATTTCTTTTTAAAAAAGAACTATTAATTAGAATCGTATTAAAATATTTATTTAAATTTTAGCTGACATTTATGATGAAGTGAGCAATTCCGTTCAAGGTTTGGGATTAGATACAGAATGTTTAGGTGGTGGTCGTATTGAACATCGTCCAGATAACAAAAAAATAAAAGTTTATGGTTATTCTCAGGTATTATGTCATTTATTATGCTTAAATTTTGAACAATATTCAATTAAAATTTATTTAGGGCTTTGGAAAAGCTGATCATTCGGAATCAAGAAACATATTGAAAACCAAATATACGGATTATGAAATTGAAATTTCTGATGAAGGCTATTAATTTTTTTTTTACACATATTTATCGAAAATGAATATTGCCAATAATTTGTAATTCATATAAGTGTACATTTATTATGTTTTTTTTTTTTTGATAATTTATTTGGATTATAAAGCAACTAATAAAAAATACAATATTTGACTTGTAATATATATGTATATATATCAATGTTTCTGTATTTTTCAGGTCATTTAATATGTACATGAAATCTAGGGAACAAATGTACTGTTAAAATTTTTATTTTTGGTTCTATTTCATTCTCCTAATAGTTTGGAATAAGAAGTGGGAAAAATTAACTAAACTCCAAATTAGATTTCCTGATTTGAGTATCAAAGCGTATTTTTAAGAATTTACAAATATGTTTGGTTATGTAAAAATATTAGTTTTTTTAATTATAATAGGGTAAATCTAACTGTATATTTTCAACAACGTTTTTTGTTCAATAATAACGCTCATTATAACATTAAAATTAAATATTATGTAATTATACATTAATGACACGATTACTGTTACAAAAAAGGAATTAGAGTGAACTAAGAACGAATTTTCTGTAGAATTATCAAGATATCACCTTATGTGCTTGTTAACCAACCGTAACAAGCAGGAGGAGGAGTAGAATAGTGTACTCACTGGTAGTTTAATGCGAAAAGATAGCGTAAGATAAATAATTCAAAAACAAAGAATTCTAAAAGAAAATTGACAATTTTACTTGATAAGTGTGGAAGCATAAATTCTTTTCTAAGACTTTTTACTTTCAATAAGAAAAAGGAAGTTTAAAATTGGAGACCATACATACATGTAGACCATAGAATTAGTATTTACCGTAAGTACGCAAACATTTTTTTAAAATATAAGAGTACATAGTCTTGAAACTCGAGTATATAACGGATTTATATGCATATAAATTCGACTAATCGTAAGCAAATTTTAATATATATTTTAATATTTACACTTTTTATAGAATTTCCGTTAGTTACTTCCTGTTTTTTCATATCATTCTCTTTATTTGGATCAATTAGTATTGGTTTTATGTAATCTTTACTATATAATAATGATGATGACGATGAATTATAGCAATTTAATGTTAAAGGATGGGTATCAATATTTGCAGCTGCTGTTGGCGCTGTTGGCAGTCTTATAGTTAAACCCGATGAAACACCAATACCATTTCCAGGATGTGTATTTCCTTTTTCATCTACAACTAATATTTCATCATTTGAATCAATTGTATTTGTTGTTGATGCTATTGTTTTGAATGTTGTAGTTGTTGTTGCCGCAAGTAATTTTGCTGTCATATTATTATCTTTGTTATTACAATTTTTGGCACTAATGGATGATGGAACATAATTTAAATTTATTGATGTTGATATATTCGGATTATTTATATTTGTTGTTGATTGTGATAATGCAGTTGTTTTTAATGTTGATACTGATGATGTTTTTGTTTTGTTATGATGAAATTTTAATTGCTTTGGTGATAAACGCAAACGTATACTTTTCGGCAGTGATGTATATATTGGATTAATTTGTTGTATAATTCTTAAATCTGGTGGTATTTTATGTAGTAGACGAATGCCTAATTTAACACTTGTACGTCGAAAAAATTTTTCATCGTTGACTTCATCTAAATAAAAAAAAAAATTGTTATTGAATTTTATTTATTTTTTATAATTTAAATTATAATTATTACTCATATAAATTCTTATATCGTAGCTAGTTCCAATTGGTGCACCACAATATTTTTTTGCTGGTACTAATTGCACACTTGGCGGAGCGGTTGTACCAATTTCTAATGAGAATGGATGAGCTCCAGGTCCTAAACGATCAACTAAGGCTTGCTAAATAAAAATTCAAGGGTAAGTACATATATACATAAATATGTATATTGGAAAATACATAATATGTACATATGCATGCATGTATGTATGTTATAGAAAATTTTATGACCAAGATATTTAATTTTAATATAAAATTTGAATTTTGAAATTACACAAAATACATATTTTACTAACTTGTAAAGGCGTCACTTCGCTTTCATTGAAATTAATCCTTGGCCATATTTGTTTAATAGCAATTACAGCTTCATTGCAAAATTTTAATCCCATGACTTCTTCATCTTCTCTACCATATCTGATCAGGAATAAAGAATTGTAATTAAATTATTAAATAAATTTTAATAGCTGGACAACTGATATTAAAAATTTCATTCTAATAATACAAAATAAAATAAGATTTATTATATTGTCAATTGTTAAATTAAATACATACATACATAAAATTATAATTATTGTAAAAAATTATTCAACTAGTTTTATTTTATTGTTAATAAATTTATAAATTTTTGTATTCTTACCTAAAAGTAAGTGTTAATTGGCCATAAATTTTTTGACTGCACATAAATTTTGGATCAATATAAATGACACCCCTTAATGGCTCGACAGTGCCATCTCTTGATATTAAGTCTCTACTTCCCAAATATAATGAAAGTATTGAATTTGCTGAAGTTTTTTTAAAAACTCTGAAAAAAAATTTAAAAATTGAGAAATATTTTTTTTTGTACATATTGGAAATGTTATAAAATTTTAATTAAACAAGTTTTGTAGTTAAGTAAGACGATAAGTAAATGTTAAAAGAAATATATTTCTAGAAATGTACTAAACTCTATTATTCTTTTAATTAATTAGTTTTTATGACAGATAAAAATGTCCAAAAAAATTTTCGTGTTTTTAAATTCTTCTCAAATTGTTTCGAGACATTTAAAAAAAATTATTTGAAATACATGTACAGTTAGGTAATTTTTATACTCTTACTACTATTTTCTGGTTGCATACGCATAGGAGGAAATCAATAAGAAGATATACGTGGATGTTATTTAATAAATACGGGCTAATTAATGAAAAAAACTGAATACATTTCAAAAAATGTTAAAAATTGGCTCCTTAAATGACAATACCAAATTTAATAATGTCGTTAATTGAGCCTATTATTAATGAAGGATGATTGAAGGGAAATTAATAAACCAACTGTTTTCATAATTTTTTTTTGAAATACATACATACATATGTACATAAGGTATTAAAAATAAATTTGCAAAGCTGTAATTTTGATAGTTTTATTTGTTAGTCTGCAAGAGCGAAATTAAAAATTTTCTTGAAGTTCCTATTAAGAAATTTCAGCGCACGAACTTCTATAGACTACTCGTATTTTATTTTAACTAAACAAAGGATTTCAATTTCTTATTGAAATTTTCCACGACAACTTACTTAGTTCTTTAGTCAATTATTCATTCCATTTTATAAAAATATAATTTGAATGTTGTAAGAATAACGTTCCACGAAAACATTGAGAATCCTGGAAGAAATTCAAATTTTCTTTTTACCTTATTGTAATTTTTTTTTATAAATTTTATTTAACTTGTTTAATAATCGTTGGTTATACTGTTTGTGTGTATTTTATTGTAATTTTAACAAAAAGGGGGTTTCAAATTTTTACTTTAAGGCTATTGAGAATCTCAGTGTCAAAATATTTTATTTAACTTAACACAAACTAGGGTATAGGAGTAAAGACGCGAGTGGACGGTAGTAAAGTGAAGAAATGTTACTTGTTTTTTTTTTTTATTTGTTTATTTGCTTTACTTGAACCTTTTTTTTGTTAAAGATTTTTAAATCGTTTTAGGGGTGGAAGAAAAAGTTGATTTTTTTTTCTTTTATTTTATTTGTTCCACTTGGTTTTTTGTTTTTTTTATTATCCATCCATGTAACTGGAGGACTTTTATTTAAGAACTCATTATTAATGCATAAATGGTTATGACTGAGGTGATATTCCTGATGTTAGTGGCTTAAGATGTGAAATAAAAATAACGTGAAATAATTTTTGCTTTTGGTGGCATATTATTATTGACATTTTATATTTTTTTTAAATATATAGTTAATTTTAAAGAACGAGGAAATAAGATGAAAAAAGTTTGTAGTTGAGGTGATTTTAATAATGATTTGCATCCTAATTTTTGATTATTATTAAGGGACCAAGGTTGTATATTAAAATAAAAAAAATCTTGTTAACTTTATGACTTTTTATGACTGATAAATTAGTATTGGAATTATGAAAATGAGCGAAAAAAAAAACATTATTTTATTTGTAAGTGGTTCATTAATTTAATATCGAAAAATTATAAATATGCGGAACTCATTAACATGCACGTATTTACATTACAAGTATAACAGCTTTAAATGTCGAATACATATAAAATTGTGAATTATTATTCTATATAACATTCAAGTAGCAATATTGTTACTGTTTAACTACACAGTACGGCTGTTCAATGCTAATTACTGAATTGGATAGTAATACTAAAGCAAATCTTCTATAATATTATGTTATAATATCTAGAAATTTAAAGTTGTTATCTTTAAAGTGTTTATGTCGTATAAATGTACGTAATATGAGAAAACTGTTTAAACCAAGCTGTTAAAATTGAAGGCAATTAAAAAATGTAAAAAAGTTGCTATAATTAAAAAATCCATTCTATTTTTCATTACATTTTTCTGAATTGAGATTCGCTTCTAAGCTATTCCTGCTTACATTCTACCTTAATTTTAGTGCTAAATAAAATACATATACATTATAAGAGTTTTGCATGTACATATATTAAAATTTAAGGCGTAGTATAGAAAGGCATTAATATATAGAGAATTCAACTTCAAAATTCCTGTATGTAATATGGCAGATATTTAATATGAGCTATATTAACCACTTTTATTTTAAGAGCTACAAAATGCGTGTTAGCTACGTGACGAACCTATAATATTAATTAAATTATGATAATTTGTCTATTATTTACCAAAGAATGAGTATCTTGTGATAAGAGCAGCCTCTATATTTGACAACTTTTTAAGTTTTTTCTCAACTGCTTTCTTTTTATATTTACGTGTTCACAGTCCTTATTTATGAGTGTTTTCATATTTTTAATGTGAAAATAAAATCTCAAGCATAAATTTTTCAAATTTATTTTCAAAAAACAAAAATAAAATCCTAATTTTATAAGCTTCAATGAATACTCATCAAACTGAATGAGATAAAAATAGCTCAATAGAATAATTTTTTTTTTTTTAAATTTCAGTTTCAAAAAACAAAAAATGCTTTGATTTCATTTTTTTTTTTCTTAAATTTATATTGTGCCTTTGTCATTGTTTACTTCTTCTTCTACACTTAAAAACACTTTAAGAGGTAAAGGGTTTTTGCCTTTTTTTTTCGTCAAGTTTTATGATTGATATAAAAATGTCATACATTTTGATTAGGGTCAAGATATTGAACTTGTATAGCCAAAATACGATTTTGTACAAATAATTTTTTGTATATAAGATTAAGAGCGTCTGTTATCTTCAAGTATTCTTCATCCTGTTGCCATTCTTAAATCAATTTTTGTTGATGTGATTAAACTTTAAATTTAATGCAAAAGATTTAATAAAAAATCATTTAAAAAATATTTAGTGCGTCTAAAAAGATGAAAAAAAAAAAATTGTAGTACAATTGTTTTTTAAGAAAATAATTCAAATATTTTTAACGTCAAATTAAAATTTTCACTTTACATATACATAAACAGTAAATTAGTTCAAACCAGTAAACCTACAACTTTCTAGGCGTACGCTTTAGCCTTAAGAACCTTATGGAAATATATTGAGTACATCATATCGCAACAGCGCAGTTAAACATTCATTCATTTTATAAATTACATTCTTCAATGTAAACACTACAGATTTACTTCTTTTTAGTAAAAGTGCTTATTAATTTCACTCTGTCCGTCCGTCCGTCTGTCCGTATGTCTGTTTACAAAGCTTCTACACCCTTGAAGATAGAAAGCTGAAGATCTGTACTAGAAACTTATTTCCATAGATTTTTACCTATCTCCCCCTTTCCCCCCTCTTCAAAAACCCTAAAAATACCATTTTTCAGCTATTTATTGCAGTAGAACCACAGGCATTTTTCAAATTTTGGAAACGCAAAAAAGTAGTGAGTTGCTTCTTCTATCGATATATACTATACCTAAACTTTAAAAAAACAAAATGGCCGTTAAAATTTACCGTTATATAAAATTCGTTTTTTCCTCCTAAACCGCAAGTTATAAATGTCTAAAATTTTAACAGATTTTAGACACTAATAAAGAGTTCATTTCGTTGGAAGAAAGATTTTTTTTAACTGCACCTCCTCTCAAGTTATCACCTCTCGAAATTTGTAAAATTTGAATATTTGGCACCTTATATTTGCGAAACCGGAAGCCTTTTCAAATTTCTGCAACTGCTGTAGCGCATGTTGTGGATATAGCAACATTCGCATCAAAAATTCGCAGTTCTAACCTAGAACTGTAAGCATTAACTCAATGTACTTATTTTAAAATGAAAAATTTTTGAAAGGACTTTAAATGCAATTAAAAAAGAAAGCTAAGTGCAAAATAGTCTTTAAAGTATATTGAAATACTAAGCTTACTCAATAATATTAGTATTCGTAATAGTCAAACACTTTCGTTTACTATATGTATTATGAATTCCTTCTGATGTATAAAATTGTAAACCAATTTTTACCGATTGCGGTAACAATCGTAAGCACAAGCCATATAGAAAAATTATAAATAAAAAAAAACCACTTTAATTCGTCCCGTTAGTATTAGGAATTTTATTAAGGATTTTTCATTTCTACTTAAACAAAATTCTCTTCTATATTGTTAAAACAATCCTCTTATAATTTTATTTAATTTTTTTGGCTTTTTAAATAATTGAACCCAAATTTGTGGTGTGTAACAGACGTTCGAAAATCTACTTGAAGAAATTTTAATGCAAAAACACATAGAAAAAAAATTGAATATTTTCGGTGTTTTTTTCGGTAAAATAAAGGATTTTAAGAAATTTGTATTTAATTTTTTTAATCAAAAAAAAAAAAAAATCAAGACAAAATAAAATAAGAGAAAATTTATAATAAAGATTTTTCATTTATTTCAACTGTATTATCCTTCAATCTCTTAATGGGAACACAATGTTCATTATCTTATCCAATATAATTTGTGAAACAAAATCGAAATCAGTTTATTTTCTGCTTTTTCATTTATGTTTTTCAAGATAAAAAACTTTCTATATATAGAATAGAAAGAATGTGTGTATGTAAGTGTATATAAAGCTTCTAAATCCAACATAAAATTAGATACTTATTTAGATTATATAAACATAATACAAATAAGGTATAAATGTCAAGTTTATCACAATAATATAAATTCAAAATGTTACTACAATATAAGAGTGCGAAAATAAAAAGAATTTCGTTAAAGAAATTCATCTGTTATACAGTCATAAGCTTCAGCATTTCCATACATATTTAAAATTTATTAGAAAATTGAAATAGAATATTATAATATGGTTTTAAATTTATAGTAAAGTTTTACTGTTTGGTTCGACTATTTGGTATTTGATAGATAGCATTATGTATAAAAGGTGTCCGACACCCCATGGTATTCCCGAAGCAGGGTGATAG